AGGAGTTAAATGTGTGATTTATTAAATTACAGGAAACGGAGGTTGGGAGACTCAGAAATTGAGTTCTGTTGCAGGCATTTTAAGATCTGAGCCCACAATTCAAACTTGAGGCAAAGAGACAACGGATGTAGTAGAACAAGCACTATGAGGTGCGATGCAATGGAATGAGGAAAAGAGCCTCACACTGAGAGAGTATCAGTCCACCACAAGGTTGTTGTTCTAGAAATACTCCCTAAGGACAAAGAGGAAGAGGCAACAGACCCCAGAAATTGAAAGAATGCTGGACTTAACTGGCCTTCAGGAGATCTGGGTTTTCGGCTAACCCAGCTCAGTCATTATATGCTCTCTTGACACAAATCTGTTATGTCAGCTTTGGGCCTCAGTCTTCTCATCTGTCAAATGGAGAGAGTAATCCTCAGCCTGACTTCTCCCGTATTTCCCTGGGCATATTGCTATCACTGAATGTACCACATTCAGTAGTCATTTCACTGTGAAATCTTTGAGAACAGGGACTCCTTTTGATTCTTCTCCATATCCTAAGCACCCAACCAATGCCTAATATATAGTAATAGGTGCTCCATAAATTTTTGATGAATAAATGAATGCCTGAATAAATGGGTTTCCTCACAAGGAAAAGCATGTGAAAAAAGTTGAAGAAGTGTAATATCCAAACATGAGATGACAGTGGTGGGGATGGTAGCCTGAGGCTGACCAGACACTTGAGAAACATTAGACTGAGCCTAAGAGAAAGTAGGCTGTACATGAATTTAATTTGAAATTTCATTTTCAGGTTTCTCATCTTCTTAGTTTAGTCAGATTAGACCATGATTATTCCTTTCCCTGCTGTCCTCACTCTACAACTCTTTGTATGCACCCAGGGCTATAGTCCAAACCGAAAGTCTAAAAAAGTAAGGGGCTGTGGTCAGGGGACAACGGTGAATGACTGTGAGAGCGCTCAGCAGTGAAGTCATTCACTCTTTCAACATTCATTGAGCACCTACCATGGGCAGGCCCTCCCCTACTCACACTCTGAAACAGCCTCACTACTAGAGGGACCTCAGAGCCTTTGAGGCCAATGGCAAAGAGCCTGAGCCCAACAGTTAACAAGGGGAGAAACTGGGACCAGAATCGAAGATGACGCTTCTTACTTTTTTCACCCATCTCTCTCCCAGAGACTCCTGTTTGTATGTGTGAAACCTCAT